CTCGTTTTATTTAGTTTTTCAAATGGATTTCCTATTTCTGAAATGTTCCACAGTGTCCCCATCAGTTTCACCTTTCATCATGTTTAGGTACAAGAATGAGTGCGTTCATCAGTTAACATGCTGTAAAAAATATCTTTCTGATGTAAAATAAAAGCAAATGCTCTTTTGGAGGTCTTTCAATGAACACAACGTTTGAGTTAATCATACATTATAGTTTATATTATGCACAGACTTATATTAAAAATTAATTTTCTTTTAAGATAAGACAAGACTGGTAAGCTGCATTTGAGCTCCTACGATTAATGAACGTATTGCACAAATAACATTCTCTAAACTTAAAGAGACAGAGAGAGAAAGAGACTATATTCATATTACCCTATTCTTATAATGCCGGATTACTATCTCACTAGTATTATGTTTAACACTGAACTGAATTTTAAATTTACATGCAAAAGAAAAGCCTTTTTTAAATTCCTGAAACGCACAGACGATCATTTAGCAGGGAAGTTCAGAAGCACAAGCTTAAATTGATGTCTCGCAGTGTCCCATGTCATAAGACAATGAAACCACGTTTTTCTTATTTGGAGAACATAAATCTTTACTTTCCCTTTAAAAAGGAGGGTTTTCAAAAATAGTAAGTTGCTGTACCATTCAAACAAGCAACGAAGAATTTACGTGCGATCCACGGTTATCCATTTGTTTTTACAAACACATAAAACCATGACCACTTGACCAGTCTAACATAGTATACAGCCATTTTTCTTTTTTGTAAAATGAATACTGATCCTGTTTATGACTAAAAAATCTAACAATACAGCAACAACATTGAATATATTTACAAAATGCATAATAAATGCTCCTATGTAAATTGTAATTGTGTCTTTCTCATTTGATCTTAAATCTATGGTTCCCCCTCTAGGTATTATGTTTACACACTGAATGCAGTGACACACAGAGAAGAGCACCAAGAGAACTTTCACAGTGTACATGACTACAGGTACTTTGACACAATATTGCTCACACACTGAAAACCTAGGGAGGAAAGTAGTGTTATAAAACAATTTCAAGGAATCATATACATTTCTCATATACACACGTAACTACTTTATTCCACAAATCAATAACACAGATACCATAACAGTTTTGAAGTTGGACAGTTCAGTGAATTTTTCATATTTTAGATTAAAAATAACCAGACACATAAATTTTCCTGATGGCATAAATAACAAAATGTGCTTTTACATACTAACTAGGTGCGTATACTAATATACTAATTCTCAAGAAGTAAAAAAACATATCAATATAGTTTAGTCCCTATCTAAACAATAATAACTGCACACAGAACTGTCTGAATACTGATCCACCTGTCCTACCATGCCTCCTGAGGTGTATATGACCGTAAAAACAAACAACCAACACATTAAAGTTTTAGTCATTAAGCAGAGTATGCTTTAATATACTGTACAACACATTTCCCCTGGTCATGGCTTAAAACACATATTTTATTGCTGAAGTAAACTTTGACTCCAGCAAGTGTAATATTTATACTTCATTTGTTAAATGATACTACAAAAACAGCATCTAAATAATCTCTACATGGTTGTCTCACAGGTTTACAAGAGCATGGTAATAACCATGAAAAAAACTACAAACCCTTCTGTAAGTAAAGTAAATGTATAGCAGGGGATGTTCTGCAAAAAATAAATAAATAAATAAATAAAAATGTTGCTACAGTAGATGAGAAATTGTGACCTTGTGTTAAGAGTAAATAGAGAGACTCTTAACAGTTATGAAGAACACACGGGAGGGAAGCAAAGCATTCGTGTTGGAATACATCGCCTATAAATACAGTGGATCAACCTTAAAACCCTTAGACCTACAAGGGGACTTTATGATGAAAAAACATTGCAAAGATGTTAAAATCTGGAAACTTTCTACAAGTAAAAAACAGAGTTTCTGAGAGAAACAGAAACTTGTCCGTCACTAGAAACGTGTGCTTGTGGTGCTTGGTGGTGCTCAGTTCTCAACAGTCGGTTTCACTAATTTTATCTTTTGATCTCTCAACAGTTATGCACACACGTACGTACCCATACACACACACACACACACACACATAAATAGTAAGGAAGATCCTCTACAAGCATTTTGATATTTATCTCTGTTGTACTCATGATGCACACGCACACACACATACACACATTCATACAAAACCAACTCTATGTATAACAGAGATCAAGTACACTATCAGAAAAAGATACTGTGCAGGTACATCTTACGGTCCAATTATGCACTTCAACCCCTTAAAATCCTAGGCTTACTACAGGGACTTGAAATCTAGAGTTCTTCTTAGGTTAAAGAAGTGTATAATAAAACTTTGGGCCTGTCGGTGGGTCCTGGTCATTTAAGGAGTAAAATGAGTTACTTTCTAGGGAAAAGGTACGTATTTGTATCTTTTCATAACCTAATGTTCTAAAACAGATAAAATAAAATAAAAAACCTGAAGTCAAGATAAGGTGTATAAAGTCAATGCAATTTTAAAAATATAACGGCAATGGAATATGATACAATTATGTTCCTTAACTAAAGCTACTGAAAACATACCCTTGAGGGCACCGCCACAGTTACAAGAGGGGTACCACCCCACTGACCATTTAATACCTTTTTTCCTGAGAGTGTAGCTTTAAATACAAATATACTTAGTGGTCCAGTTTGCCTACAACATAACTCTGTACTTTGTATCATGACAAAGAAAATACTATTAATCTACTACAGACCCAAAGAGACTATGAGAAATATGAGAACACACAGCCCTTAATCCATACCCTCTACCATCAATTGATTATTCTCAATGCACTTAACACACCCACTAGAAGCGTGCTGCATGGCACCATATACATGGAAAACAAACTCATAAATAACTAATCTGCTGACCTCTGCTACTTAGTCATAAGCTTTTGGACAAAATGTGAGGAAAACAAGACACTTTTTTTTCATTGGAAACAGATTTGTAAAAATTCCCTACAGCATCAGCATTCTTGAAAGTAAAAGAAAAGGAAAAAACACATTTGTGATGAAGTAGGGAGCTGATGCAATCTCTGTCTGAGGTTTCAGCAGCGGCTGGCCTATTGACACTCAGCATTGAGGGATGGGGGCTCTCCCTGGGGACAGGTGCTCGAGGACATCACTCTACCGCGCCACACTGTAGTGCTTCATTACAGTACCATACCATGAAGTGTAGAAGCGTATTTTATAAACGACTGGGCCAAGCATCAGATACAGTGTGCAGAGATTATTAGTTCAATTAAAATAAATTACAAAATATATATATATAATATATTAATAAATTAAACTGTCTGATTAGTTAAATTCAAATAAAGATTTTTTATTGCATTGATTGTGAGGTCCATAAGTTATGTCAGACATCTCTACTGTCACAGAACAGAATGGTTAGGATTAAGAATTTATACAAGGAATGCACAATGATATCCCAATCATATCAGTATGGGCAGATATTTGATTTAAAAAACTAGTGACATCAGACAGACTTGTGACATTCACCAGTATTTCAAACCGATATCTGATGACATTCACTAAACTCAGGAAAAGCAGCAAGTTTAGGACTGCTGTGGTTAAATGCCAGCATTTTGTTAATTTGACTGCATCTGTAACACTCTACAAATAAGTGTTGCACTTCTCCATTATGGTCATCAAGGTAATTTAGCACCAATTTCTAAATTTCCTATAAATGTTTGTGTGCCTGCATGAAAAAAAAATCAGCATTAGTCGTATTGATGCATGTTAAATGTATATGTATGGGACAGATCTGGATTTTATACATTCATTGACCAGTGACCGTTCTTTTGCCTCATGAAAATAAAAAAATAAAGTCAGGCTATGGCCTAGGATACCTACTCCATTCCATGATACATTCACCACACCACAGAATTACATACTCAACAGATACACCTTCACACTGATACAGGTGAGGAATAAAGCTCCCTGAAGGCAATAAGAAAAAAAAACATACTCAACAAGCCCTCACAATCCCTTGGTGTTCGTTTCCCTTACCATCACTTCCCACACACCCACATACAGGCGCATACACACACAGTGTATCCCACCCAGTCACTATAGACCACGGATTCATTATGGAGTCTTTATATGAGACAGCATGCAGGCTGAGTGGGTGTGATATGGTGAGATTAGAGGGGCCGCTGGCCACAGGGCTGTGACAGAGACTCTGTTAGATGTGTAGGCATCACACTGGCTACGTCACAGCCTTTAATACACTCACTGTCTGCAGCCTACCAAACCCTACAATAAAATCAATCTCCTTTTAAATGAGAGTGTAAAGCTAATTTAACCCATATAATCAGATTGAAGGTCATCAGACCAAAATGCAACAAAGTTTGGCAACGAAATGCAATGATTCCCCACAAAGTATTGGGGTAAAAAATAAAAAAGAACAAGGAATGTGAAAGAAAATCCTCTAAGGCTTGTCTGAGAAATTATATAACATCCAATTTATAATGAATGTTCAGACCACTCTAATTTGTCTCCTGGCTAAAATGTTCAGATCTTCTACCTAAACCACTGAATTACATTTAAGTTGACAGAGTTAAGCAGAGAGCTTCAAGGCTCATATATATAAATACAATAGCTGAAAACCTATAAATGATGCTGTTAGATGCTGGTACATTCATTTCAAGACAGACTTTTAGTGTAAAGCCCACAAGAGAAGGTGTATTTCTGAAAGAAAAGCAAAGGGTTTTCCCAAGCAAAGGCCAAAAAAAAAGAACAAAGGGGCTCAGTGGCACATATGACTCTTGTCCATCCTTTGTTTTCCCATTTAACCCTTTCCTCCTACATCAAGGTGCTTTACCCACCGCCCCCCCACCCTACCCCACATCACACATCACACAAAAACCACGCAGACATACATACTCCTTTCCATTTGTTCATGGGCCCCCCGATAAAAGTCAGTGGCTTGAATTACTCACCCGATGAGGGACACCATCTGCTCCACTATATGCTTGCTGAAGGTAATGATCACAAACAGTTTCTGTATGAGGGACAGAGTGACAAGCAGACAGACAGACAGAGAGAGAGAGGAAAAATGAGGGAAATGCAGTCACTCATTCAGTCATATAGTACACCATGGGTTCATAAGAGAGAGGGCCTGCATGACATGCTCAGGGCTTCATCATTAACCCCCACCCCTACCTCCACCTTACAGGCCCTCAAATGTCCTTGAGGGAGCAACCAGACAGTGGTTAGCAGAAAGAGGCCCTTTGTGGTGGAAGACACAAACTAACCTCTCAAAGCTATGACACATCAGCAAACCAGACAGACCTGGCCAAGCAACCTTTAGATGACATGAGTCCAGTGAGGGTCATGGGTCAAAACACAAAGACAACATAGGGTGGAAGAAAACTAATGGGAGCGAGGTAGTAGATGACAGGAAAAAGAGGAGAATGAGGGACAAGAAGAACCTCAAGTCGAGGGGTCTGCCCTGGCCGGACAGGCAGATGTGTCATCTTTTGTCTTTAATTGTCGGCACTTTTTAGACCCAGACTACAAGTAGCAGTAGCAGTGATGACTGCAGACCAGTCTGGATCTTGATGACTCACAAGCCCAGGCCAGTCATGATAAAAGGCAGGATGGGGGGTGGGTGTGTGGAGGGTGACTGGTGCGACTCAATCAGTCTAAAATCACTCATTATGCTCTCATTACTGTTTTTCTCTGCCATAAGGTTTCCCCCACCATGAACAAAAACAAGCAGCTGTGACTGTGTCAAGTAAGCATGTCCTTTAACAGACACTGTTTGGATTTCTCTACACAACCAGCCGGGGAGTCTTTGTATGTGTCGTTGTACTAAAGAGGTAAATACTGGAAAAAACTTTATGCTTTCAAATACAAGCCACAAATCCAAATTTTCAAATCTAACTCAGCATACACAGCATTATTCTGTTTATGAATCAAAATGTGAATTTGTGTGAACCAGTTCACACTGTAAATTAGTTAGATATGCATTTACTTATTGTAAATGATATCTTGTTTCTTGTAACAAAGACATCATGGTGATCTTATTTAATTATATTCCTAAATTATATTTCCTATTATATATTATTATATAACATCTATATCTAAATATTTTTTTCAGTGTTTAGAAGACAATATATCAACCAATGAGGACAGCATTTCTGTAACACAGCAACATAATTCAGTGAATAGAAAAAGAAACACGAATTACATTTTTTAAAGGCAATTAAAACCTTGAGTATCTACACTTTCACTGTTTTGAATCTTCACATTTAAATAAGATGCACATCCTTGTTGGAAAAAACGATCTTGCTTAAAATGGCTGAAGTCTAACAGCTGCTTTATTAGACCCAGATAACATCATTTCATTTAATCACAATCACAAAAAGATCACAATCTTTTAGTGCAGGAATATCTAAAACTCGTCTTTGAATAGAGTGAATTCTGGTTTTGTATAACAAAATAGAATTTAATGCCTGAAAGAGCTTTATTGTCTTTTACTTCTTAGCTAGTGCCAAGTTATTGTTTTACATCTATCTATATCATCTACCTATTCTTTTATTTATTTCATTAACTGTGTTGTCATTATTTTATCCCTATATGATCTGTTACTTATTATATATATATAATTGCATTTGTAATGGTTTACTGATTTTTTTTTTACTATTACATTTACTATTATGATTCTTTTATTACTTTTTTTTTAACACTTGGTATGTTTGACAATCCAATTTTTTAAATCCCTGATTTCTGTATTGGCTTGACTACACTGTAAATGAGGGTCTCTCTCAATGTACCCCAAATTTAAATAAAGATTGATTGATTGATTGTTAAATGTCACTTAGTCAACCAATCAATCTCATTCAAAGCAGTCAGCAGATGGCTTTGAGGTGCAAAAATAACAGACTACGCAAGTGTGAAATGTTAGACTTTGCTGAAGAGACCAGTGTGTGGGGGTTTTTATGGGAACGTGTAGTATCATATGTCTCAATTCACCTGATCTACAAGTTTGACTCTGTAGACTTTTCAGGCACAGAAGATGTCTGAATAACAGCCAACACCCACACACATGCAAAGTGTCTACATTCAATGTGCTCTATTCAATCTAAAGTAGAATCAGAAAGAAAGAAATGATGAGTGAGAGCGAGAAAATAAGCATTCAAGTGTGTGAGCAGAGGCCAGATCAGAGGTTTCATTTACTACTTTGTTGAGAATTTATCAAGGGAGTCTTTTCTATCTTTCGATAACTTCACTAAGCTTACTGGAACAAGGCAGGCAGGTCAAAATTCATAAAAAACAAAATACATAAAAAACTACATATAAATATAACAATATGTCAACATAATTACCAACAGATACACACAGCCAAAAGCAATTTCTACATTCAAACTTGGACTCCTAAAGATTTTTTACTGAATATGATGTGATTGTGGTTTTTGGACTACTTCATTAACAAACAGCAAAAAGAATGTAAGGATTATGTATTTTCAGCTTTGCACAGATATCAGCACACTTTACTGAATAACCTATTTAGCACATTCCAGTGCTTTTTTATCCTAACTCTAAACATCTGACTCTGGAGCCAGCACTGGAGTGCGTCGCCTGTGGAGAGCAGCACAGCTGCGATATTCACAAAATGGAGGGCAACAAAACACAAAATGGCTGCCTCTTATAATGACTTACACACAGTTGGGTCTGAATGATTTTGCTGGCATCCCAACGCAGCAAAACCCTAGAAAGCGAAGACGCCATGTTTTCCAGACAGGTAGTTTTTCAAACAGAAGATCTAAATATGTAAATCTATACATCTAAAGATCAAGATAAAGAAGCAATTCAAAGAAAGATTCAGTATCAACAAAGACATCCATTCCTTACACTCACCTGAATGTGCATTTTTATTACTGCTTTGCCAATGAGTGTGGCTCCAAAAAAGCTCCAAAAAGGCACTAGGAAATGTCCACAGGTTATTCCTGCGAGGTCAAAGAGTGGATTTGGGATCTAGAGCAGAGAAAAAATAGCAATACAGTAGAACCATAATACAGAAAAGATGATTCAAGCATATTATGATAATCGCATGGTACTGTGTTACACTGTTAGAAATAAAGGTACTGTGCAGGTACATTTTTTTTTCATTCAGGTTCAAACAATGTAAGCGTACCTTAAAGGTACAACAGTGGTTTTAAGGTACAATTGTGTACCTTAAAAAAGATTTTCCAGGTGAAAAGTACATATTTGTACCTTTTCATAACCTAATGTTTTAAAGTATAACAATAAATTAAAAAGCCTGGAGACAAGACCAGGTGTGTGAATATAATACAACTTAGAAAATATAATTTCAATGGATTTTGGTACCATAATGTTCCCTGACTAAAGGTACTGAGATGTACCCCAGTGACAGTTCACTCCTTTTTTTTGAGAGTGTAGAATTATGAATTTACAGTATATTATTTCACAGTATAAGGAGTAACAAAGCAGCCACAAAAGCACTGCATTCCAGAACTAATGTGCACTGACATGCTTCATTCAGAAAACGGAGAGCTCAGAACAGTTTAGAGAAAAGAAGATAACAGCCTAAAATTAGTCACTTTTCATAATTAAAGTAACTGAGGAGATCTAAAGAAAGGCTGCCAAAAAAAATAAATGACATGTAAAATTAAGATGTCACCACGTTAAAACAAGAACTTACGGAAGCACAGGCAAGTATTCCGAAAAATCCAACTCTCTGGACCATTTTCTGCACTGCAAGCTTCACTCTGGTGGCAAAATCCTAAAGAACAAAAACAAAGACAATCGCATGATTATTGCTGTGATTAATGATGTTATTATGATCAGTTTGTTATCTGGAAACATTGAGAGATTCACTAAAGTAAACAGTCAGTAAAAGTACAGTCATGGATACACAGGACACCAATGATAACCCATCTTGCCTGTTAATTAAAATAATTAAAAATGGAAAAAAAATCCAAGAATAAATTAAAATAATAAACAATTCATTTCACTTTCATTAAAATGTTGTTCATATAATTAAATTATCAGGAATACAGTGTGCATCAAACACTAGAACAGACAAACTGTAGATAAAGGGCTTTAAAACAAAATTAAAATTAAGCATTTACAGTTCAAATAAAACAGCAAGTAGAATTCATGCGAAAAAGTTTTGACACATAATAATCTGATGTTTAAAAAGTGTAAAAATTTGTAACAAATTGCTGATCTTTTAACAACTTTTTTTTCTTTTAAAAACACACTTCTGCCTTATTATGTGCTCTGGACAAAGCACGTTTAAAACACCCTTTTCTCTGAGAGAATTTTTAAGAAGCTGTACTTTATTCCTTTTTTCTGATTGATTTAAAATCTTTAATTTAATCTTTAAATCTTTAATTTAAAATTTCAGTAACTTGAAATCTAATCTAAATTGTGCCAGAACATTACAGATTTAACTAACTCATTTACTGATTGTACTGATTTTTTTCATTTATAATGAGAGCAATACACCTAATAAAGACATAAATAGTTTATTACTATTTATTGTTAAATGTGCTAGTAAACTAGGTGTGATTTTGAGAGTAATGAGCAATTGTTTGCATGCAATAATTCATACAAAGATTTTAAATCATTTTAGGAACTTCGTTCATTTCAGATGCTCTCAGTGTTGCTATTTTACCGGTTTTATTTTTCCTTTATTTTTATGAGACGAAAACTGCACATGCATTTAAATCTTACAATGTAAACATTTTTGGAGTTCTAATACACTCTGTGTGGAATAGAAATACTGCACACTTTAGAAAACTAAGCACAGAAAAACTCAGTCCACTTTAATCTAAAGAAAACTTATAACACACAAATGATAAATGCTTTGAATGCAGATGCCTGTTTTTATCAAACAGCACTGAAACCATTAACAGAATCTATATTGAAACATATATTTTAAGTTATTCTGGCATGATTAAAATCCCACACATGCTCAATAATTATTCTTGGCTTACACCACTTCTTTGACTTTCTTCTCATTTATTCGTTTCTTTCTGAATAAATGAGTGTTCAGCATAAAACGGAAGAACAAATTGGATTAAAATACCATCTTAAATGATGAAAAAACCTCCTCTAGGCAGAGCATCTCTTAAATTGCTTACTAATGCTCAAAGTATATGTGATGTACATGGGAAATATAATCTTTTCCACAGCAAGATTTTAGATGACATAATTAAAGGTATATTTACAATGTGGGGATGAGAGTGTTCAAAGCTGCAAAGAAGCTGGATTCCAGGTATATGAACACAATGCGGGCTTCACTGAGTGTCTTTCTACACAGCTCAAAAACATTTATGCTATTTTGAACATTCTTTAACATCTTCCACATCATCTGGTGTCTCTTATTAACAATTATTTTCTTATGAATTCTGTTCATTACATACGGAGTGCTCCTTGCAAAGTCTTTGCAATGAAGAAACTAAACAGATAAAAAGTCTGCACCAACTTGAGTGGGTTAACAAACCCATTAAACCTCCCTCCTCTATCACAATGATCTGAGGAGGAACTGTTTACCTGTATCATTTCAGAATTAACTCATTGTCATTTTGAACCACTTCTACATTAGTATTGCAAGTTTTTCACAACAGATATAAATATGTGAAAACACCATTTGAGTATTAAAAAACTAGTACAATGTCTTAAAAGGTGAAAATATAACAAATCATTAACCCTTACCAGAGAGATCCATGAACCTTTTTATATTCCTTTACAAATGGGTGGATGAAGAGCAACACCAGACTCCCCTAGGTCATTCCAATGAGTCAGAAATGCCTTTCATATATATCCAGCTATCCTTTGCAATCTGACAAAAGTCTCTTTCAGTCTAATAACATGGATGTTTTTCCCCCTGTGCATCTTCATTGGGAAGAAGAAGATTAAGGTCATTTTAAGGTGAGGGTGAAATGAATTCTTCTGGAATCGTAATGCAGCAGAACCCTAAAAATCAAAACATGCTGTTTTTGAAATTGGTGCTTTTTTGAATAGAAGCACTAAATCTGTAAATGTATTCATTTAAAGCTGTGATTCAAAAAAGGTTTCAATGGCTATCAATACATGATCATCTGTGCTCATCTGGGTGTTTTCATTACTGCTTTTTTGTCTCTAAAATTATTTCTGGAATGCCCTTTTTCCATACTTTCTGTCTAATAAATATTTTGATGATTTTTAATGTTCTAAACACTTTAGACAAGATCAAGATGTTTCTTGTTTCTTTTGTTGTTTCTTGTACTTACAAAATCCTTCTCGAAAAAGATTTTTATTTTGTTTTAAATCAACCACAGTCAAAAGACAGAAAAAAATAGTCACACTTCTTACTACTTTTAACACAACTTACTAAGATATGATCCAAAGGGCAACATCTACATTAGAGAGTAACAGCAACAATACTCACATGCATATTCATACACATTTCACATACAATGTTTTCACATTTTTAAAGCTTTTTTGTGCAGTGACTCTGAATGATTCCACAAACATCTCATTATGTAAATGAAAAACTTTCAAAAATTCTTTCCAGTGACTAAATGTGAAAAGACTAGTATTAACACAGAAAGATCACTGACAGATGATCATGTAAATCATACATTGACCCCTTGGGCTGATGAGCTCATCTTTAATTCGTTTATAAAATGCTGTGCATCCTATCTGTCCCCCTGACACGAAAGTCTGTTGAAATTTGAGTGGTCTCTTATTTGGCAATGGGAGGGGATTTGACCGAATCGAGCCTAATATGGACATCAAATCAGGCCAAGTAATGTTGGCAGGGGGAGAGAAGGGAGGGGTCCAGAGCCAACGGACACAGCTGTGTTATGATTGGCCAAACTTTAAAAATCAGAATCTTTTCTGTCCAATCGCAGAGGCTGGGCTTACACATAGCAACAGCTGCACTCGTTCTGTTGTACTCTTCCTCTCTCTCTCTCCTGATCGGATCCAGCGATGGCTACCCCTAGTGTCAGAGGAATGTCTATTGTTCAAAAGGGAGGAATGTCTATTGTTTATCTCACTGACGGCATGACCCGTCGGGATCTGTACTGTACCATGGCAACAAAAGAGCCACATTCAGACGCCAGTGCCCACTCTCATCACAGAGGCATTATGCCACATGAGTAAGCCACTTCTAACGGTCACAAGAAATGCTGAGTAATGTCAAGGCTAAATCACAGCATTCAAATCCAGTCACAAGTCTCTCATCATCATCATCTAACCCATCCAAACATAGAGCCCTTTATCCTTTATCTGCTGGCAAACATCCGTATTACCTGACACGCCTCACAAGCCTTCTGCTACACTTCTCAATACATCTCATTCTGCTATTATAAAAATTATTGTACTTGTCTATTTACAGTACCACAGATGTTCCATGTATTAATTCATTCCGGCTTTATTAATTATTACAGACTTCTGTAATATTTACAGAAATTATTCAAGGTGTTGTAGCATTTTTTTTTTACTCATCATGGAAATTTCCCATTTGGCAAGCCTTTCACCCACTACTGTCACCCGCCCTTACCAGCACCCACCCGGCCATCCCCTGAGGCAGGGCTTCCCAGCAATTATGCTTAGGAGATCTTGTCAAAACTGCACCAGTATTTAAGACTATGGGACTCGCTCTTAGCCCTCTGATTTGGGTTTGGCACCGTTCTTCACTTTTTCCTTTTTTGTCTCCATTCTTCGTCAGCTCTGCTATGAAGTTTGTTGATGTTTATTGTTCAAACACCTTATAGAAGTGAGATAACATCTTTAAGTGTTAAATACTTTATTTATTGCTTCTGTAGGTCAGGTTTTAGATGAGAATGGGGGATGAATGGAACCTCAATTAACTTTTTGTCACTATTTCACTAAACTTGACTGAAAGCAAAACTTTACGTCCTATTTAAGTTGGCGCCTAGAACAAAATCTACCTTCACTGCTCTTCTGCCTAGAGTCTTTTGACAGGCACAAAAAAGTTACTGTATAAGTAGCGCAACAGGCTCTCGTAGGCAGAAAGATGACAAAGGCTGATGCAAAAGATGAAAGGGAAAAAATGCTTCAGACAGGCTTTCCTGATTTTGGAACACTGTAAAAAAATGCTTTCTTCATCATCCCAGATTTCACCACTCCAAACCAACCAAAAAAAAATTTCAATCAATGCTATTTAAAACCATAGCACTTTTAAAGATTATGCCACATAAGTATGTATTATATACAAGTTTTATATATATATATATATATATATATATATATATATATATATATATATTTTGCCTACAAGTTTTGAATCTAAGTTTAAATATGGCGTATTGAAGAATAATTTAGTAAGAAGTACAAAAGACGATTAACGTAAGATCATACCAAGCGTTCAGGGGAATTATCGATATTTGGTTTAAAATTTAGACAGGACACCAATTAAAATATGTGATGCAATTCATGAAAAATAGAGTAAATTGATGGTCTGGTAAAATCTGCATATTTGCACTGGTGGAAAAAAAGAAGAAGAGGCTGGTCATAATTAGGTCAACACTCAATCACACTGTTTATAGCTACTTTAATTTTTTTTCTGAATTAAGCGCAGCCAGACAGACATGTTCTTGCCCCCGCCACTGACACACACACACACACACTTGTTCGATGCCATCACAAGCGCTCTCTCTCTCTCTCTCTCTTTTTCTCTCTCTCTCTCTCTCTCTCCCTCTCTTTTTACAGTGTGTCACAGGAAGTTAAGTGATTATGAGCGCCTGACGTAATCCGACCCAGAGACCGTTCCAAAGAAAGAAGGAAAAAAATTCAAATCTATTGCAAGGAGGAAGGGGGGGGGGTAATGTGCGCCCTGGAGTCCACGTTGACAAATTCTTTAACAAGCTGTGGTTGAAGGGAAGCTGCTCTGACTCACCCCCTCCTTTCAAGCAATTTACTGGAAACATGGGGGGAGGCAGCGGGAGGGGGGACTTTCAGAGAAGTCACGTGATGGCAGGGGCGGGGCTAACCACAGATCAGGGAGGGAGAGGAGCCAGGGGCAGGAGGAGGCACTCACTCACTCCCTTTCTCTCTCTCTCTCTCTCTCTCACACACACACACACGCCCTGCCCAGCACAGATGCTGCTCAGTCCAGTTACAGATTTACTCGCCTGCCTGGGAGTTGGCAACTGAGAATTCACAGACTCATTAACCCTCTCAGTGCCAGGGCTAATGGCAGGTTAACTCTTTACATGCCTACAAATTCTTAAAGTGGCGGGAAAAAAAATCTGTAAAAATCCCAAGCACGATAACCCTTTCACTGCTGGATTTGGGTTAACCCTTTGTGTGCCAGATCTGTTTCGTTGCACAGAATAAAAATTAAACCATTACAGATGTGTTAAATCCTTCACACTGATTTTCTCCACCGGTACACAAAAACAGACAAATCTGAAAAAGAATGCAGTGAGCATCACCTCCTTATAATCAGGAGAAGATCCCTAAGGATTTGTAGTTTCTTATGGAGCTCCAGTTTTATAGACGTAAAAAAGGTGGATGATGCTCAGTCCATAACAGGTGATCCTGAATTTTTGGTGTATAAGCAGCTGCCACAGTGCCTTTAGTGAACTGGGACACACCTTTGACCTGGAGCAAGGGCCGACCAAAAGGACACCCACTCGCACGCTGCCGATGCCATCGAAGACATCACACTAACACACAGAATCATATGTTTCTCTCTCAAAAAATAAACAAAAAACCTACTTAAAAACTTTTTTTAAATGTTTGTTTTTTGTCATCTACGGTGTGTAAGACAAGAGCGGACACCGCTGTGTGGGGAAAAAAATATGTTAAAGGAAATGTGTTCCATAAGAAGATATAGAAATCCTGGTGAAGAAAAAGTGATCCTGTCAGCTAAGTCGGCCATCTCTCTTCGCATGTGTCGTTTTATCAAATGCTCCTGTCCGGAAGGTTAGCGCTATCAAGGCAGAATGAGACGGATAGTGCGAAACATCGTCAACTGAAGAACGAATCAAAGAGAACTCTTCAGCAGTCAAAAGTGACTTCCTTAGAGAGGAAGAGTGCAGGAGAGGGAGACACACAGAGAGAGCAAGAGAGAGAGATCCAGAGAATGAGAGAGAGAGAGAGAGAGAGAGAGAGAGACAGAGAGGATTAAAGAGGATACAGGTCCCATTCTGGGCGGATGTGAGATTCTGCCCCATATGACAGCGAGAGCGAAGGAGGAAAGAGGAGGAGATGAGGGGAAGGAAGGCTTCCGGCTGGGACGCGCTCCTGTAGCCAGAGAAACCTGCGCTCAGGAGCTGCTGGCCACATGCCGTAGACACACCAACTGCCTGGCCCGTTATACGGAGAAAGAGAAAGACAGAGAGAGAGAGAGAGAGCGAGAGGGAGAGAGGGAGAGAGAGAGAGAGAGAGAGAGAGAGAGAGAGAGAGAGAGAGAGAGAGAGAGAGAGAGGGAGAGAAAGAAAGAAAGAAAGAAAGAAAGGAGGAGGAGGACAAGGAGGAGGAGGACAAGGAGGAGGAGGACCAGATCGGAGCGATGTAAAACAGAGTCAAACACTTAAGGGGACCGTGTCATATAAAGTGATAGACAAGCATCTTTCAGAGAAACAGTCACTTTGCCTTTTTCTTAATTTCTCCATCCCTTTTCAGGGTCTCAGAGCAGACCTTCCACTCTGCCAAGGTTACAGATGGGAGACTGTCTTGAATGGACACACAGACACAGATTTACACATACACTTTTTTTTGAGCACTGCTTACCGTGCAAACACAATTTACACAACTGTAGTGTGCGTGTGATCTGACAACGATGACTAGATCAGCACACCTACATTTAAGTCACACTGAGGACATTATTCATGATAAAATCTCCCTAGCATGAATGAAATGACTAGAAACGTCCCACTTAGTGGAACTATTACCAGAAAGAGGTCAGAAACTATGATGCAACATCTCACAGAATACACGCATATGACAGTTCTTAAAACATCTTTATTTAGTCACTGTGGCTGAGAAACAAATGGATAAAAATACTATCAAAGCGAGAAGATAAACAAAAGGACACATGACGGATCCAAAACTGCTGAACATGTAAAAATATAGTGGCCTTGTTTACTCTGTGGCAAAATATTTGGTCAGATTTGGCTTCAAATGTGCTGATTGACAAAACACTTCTGTGAAATGATTTCAGGGGGTTTCCATCTGCGAGAACCTCTTGTTTTGCACATCTAAAATGTCTTTAATCTGCTCTTAATGGACGCTTCTGCAGTTAGTGGAAGCGTTGTGAGAGGACATTCTTAAACTTTTACCTGTTTTCAAGAAAGCTGAGGCCTGTTAAAAAATAAATGCTATTACCTGTTTCATGTCAAGATATACTTTATTATTTAGGACAAAAAATAATAACTCAGTGGAACAAGCAGAGCTGTGTATAGAGTGAAATGGTAGAAAGGGTGAAAATGAAGATGTCAGACCTACCAGAGAATCACCTTTAAGACCAAGGGCATGGCATGTGCTGTTTGGCACACACTGTACACTTTGAGGCTATTTTTATACCCAAATTGGCCACTGAGGATTAATCTTCAGAATCCAGCTGAATTTCAGCTTCATCAGTTGTTGTTTGGCGTACAGTGTAAGGAGAGTGCAGATACCAGAGTAACTGTCCAACCGAACTGAAATTTTTTTGTATTATTTTCTTATACAACAGGCAATTAAAACATGCACCGTGAGTTTTCGCCAATGAACAATCTTTCTAAAATCATACAGTGTATGTCTGGCTTAAGTGGAGGTAAAGTAAGATGTGTGGCTGGAGAGATCAGATAGAATATGACAAAAGTGAGGAGGAGAAAGAAGGTAGACTCTGTGAGGGAAGGATGGGGAGAGAGATGAAAGGGAAGAGAAAGGTAAGGTCGTGGACACACCTGTGCAGTGTCAGTCTGTTCTAGCATCTCCTCAAACTCTGCGTAATCTTCATCATCTGGCTCTGTGCCTGATAATCGAGCAGCCCGAGCCATGAAATAGGGGGGAAGTTCTCCTATAGCAGTCCCTGCACCCTGCAAACACACACACGCAAACATACATGCACATGCATGAGTGCGCACACACACACACATAAAAACACACAAACACAAAATAGCCTGGTCAGTTTGTCCAAACAGGAGTAACTAGAAAAATCAGCACAATACTGTTGTAGTAATGGTCTGATACAGCTTTATGTAAGACATTGTCACTCTGCTGCTTATTTGAGTTTAAGAGATTTGACAACTAAAAATGCACAGTTAAAACTAATTAACTATTAAGTAAAACTACTGAACATTTTATTGAACTTTTGGAAATATTTTAGCTGACATATAACGGCTCTCTGAATTTCTTTAAAAATGTATTAAGTATTGACATTGGTGACTAAACTTTGAAATCAGCCAGGCACTAATACCCATATTAAACCATTAAATAACTTTCTAGTGTAAAGCCCTAGTAATGGTACTGAAACTTGGCCTAGGTCCAAGCACAGACAGAATTAGAGAATTAAGAAATGAGTGAGCGATAGAGAGAGCCACCGGTCAGCCAACTAGCTCGCCACTTGCCACAGCAACAGGACGTTATTACCAGGCACAGAACAAAAGAGTCACACAAGGCTGATTAGACACTGAGCTGACCACACACCTTCACTCATTTAGCAGCACAGCGGACTGCACGGGTTTAAAAGAAAAAAAAAACAAAAAAACGCAGTATTTGATTCTAACCAGGTACCGAAAAAAGAAAGCTGATAGGAGAAAAACAACAAAATACAAGGAGTTCCCCAGGGGGCTGGGTTTGATGGTGGTTATAAGCATAGTTGAAGACAGGAAAGTCTGGACAGTTTGGAGGTTTGCCCATGCACTTTAAGATGCACCATTATGAATGAATGGAGCCTTATGGCAAAAGTACAAGTGCTTTTTTTTCCCTCTTGCCGTTGGTGGTCAGGTATTAACAGGGCTGTTATTTAATCTCGACATCCTGCCTCCTTTCAAAACAACTGGCTTTGATGGTGGCCGCCACCGGGTTACTCATCGAGCAGTTGCAGCTAATCTCCTGGACAGCTGCCCCATCCAAAGCCTTTCTGTGAAAGCTGTTTGGCCAGTGTATATGTTGTGCCTGGGGTTTTGTGTGCGAAGACACTGAACGTGCAATGGTTTGTTCGTATGTATGGTTTTACTCTCGTTGTAAGGACATTTGATCAACACAAGGCAAAGAAAACATGAAAGTTAAAATGTTGTGTTGGCTGGTTTCCGTGAGAACATTTTTTTTTTATGTAAATCACCGCTTTTATTTGAAAAGGAGGGATTTCCTTTTGGTAAATAAGGTTAAGGAAAACACCCATATGAGTGTGCATGCATGTGCCACCGCTCCTTGTGCAGGTTGTTGAAAAACGGCCACTTATGCTCACAAGGGTGAGTGGTGTCGCACATGTTCAGAGAGCTGCAGGGTGAATGGAGGGGGCCTGTCTCTCACCAAGACCCTCATCTACTGAAGTATTGCCGATTAGTGTGTGTGTGTGTGTGTGTGTGTGTATGTGTGTGTGTATGTGCAGCCTCTCACATCATCAACTGTTAATGGCTGCTTGATTTAGCAAATAACACTTGCTCACAATTGTCAATTCTTTGTTAATAGGGACAGACAAGAGCATATGCTTCAGTCTAAGCATGTATGTGTGTGTGTGTGTGTGTGTGTGTGTGTGTGTGTGTGTGTGTGTGTGTGTGTAAGTGAGATCTCTCTATTAGGTTGCTGGTTTTCTTGCCAAAGGTGGCTCTTTTAACAATGAGCCTTGGCACTGGCAGGACATGGGGTGAGGACCCAGCCCAGCAGGTAGTCTGCCATCGCCAGGTGTTTGATAAAGACACAGATTGCTAAATAAAATCCCAGAGAGCCTTGCTGAAATACGACTCTTCCTGGCTGTGCACAATTTCAAAATGAAAGTCTCTGAAATTTGCTGCGGTTCAGACCAACTGCAATTTGAGATGTGATTTAAATAAACAATACTAGCATGAAGAAAGTAAACTAGAGCTGTGTTTCTCAGCTCAGTCCTTGGGGCTCACATTTTTGCTTTATTCCAACTCCCAGGTCATCTAAACCAAGCCAGCCAACCAGAGCACTGAGTACCTGGTACAAATGTACTGGGAGCTAGCTTAGAGCAAAAAATTGACCATCTGGTTGCCTTCAACACTTCAAAAACAATGATAATAGTATGCTTACAATGAGCAAGTCTACAAACGAAGACAGGAAATATCGTATTCCTACGTCCAACTCCAACTCCTACGTCTAACTCCAGTGTTATCATATCGCTCAAAAAAAAAACAAAAAAAAAACGCAGACTGAGAGCATATGTGTAGCCAGGTGTGGCTAATGCCATACAGCTCAGAACCTGCCAGAGGGAGAGGTGGCACCAGCCTGACGTCAATTCGCTACTTCCACTCCCTATTCTGTACGGTGTGTGTGCTATTACCATGTGCCACCTTGGCAACGAAATCTTCTCAAAAGCACAATTAATTCTCTAAACTAAATGTTTTAGTTTTAATGTATTAGTGGTCTGCTGATTAGAGGATGAGTCAGAATTTTCAAATAGTCATTTAAGTTTAAAAAATCTAATAATGAATTTATGAATGCAAGCTTCTCTTCAGTGTAATGGACTGGCGACCTTTCCAGGGTGTATCCTGCCTTTCGTCCAGTGACTGCTGGGATAGGCTCCAGCACCCCCTCCCATGACCCAGAAGGATAAGTGGTTTAGAAAATGTGTGTGTGTGTGTTTCTCTTCAACATATGTTCTTATATTGAAGAACCATGTGATGTCTGAACTCTTCTCCACCAGAGCACAGTAAAGAGAATTCGTCTGAAGAAAGAAGCATAAAAAGACTAAGGCAGCTTGCTTAAAGCTACTGCTAACCAGAAGAACTCTGTGCCATGTGTAGAAGACAGTACAGCGCACAGCTATAGCACCTAAGCAACAGTGCAGAGAAGCACCAATGAACAAGCTCAAGATCATTTTAGACTGCACTTGTAAAGATATGGAATAAAACTTTAATGGTTTGGGTCTAGATTTAATATAGTACAAAAACAGAAATGTTGAATGGTGTCACTGTCTCTGAGGGCAGCCGCTCGATGCATCTGGTGTGGATTAGCCTCCAGCCTTAAAAAGAGTCCTACACTTTTTTTGTTCGTTTTGGGGTATTCTGTACATTTTTTAAAAAATATTTTAGAATGCAAATCCCTATTCAATATTCGTGTGAAAGTTTTCAATTTGCATTTGTTTTTAAGCAGCTAAATCACATGGTAACATCCAGAGATGGAATGGTAACAGCTGGAGGCTCATTTATAATTACATCCCTCTCTAGTAACGTGCCCTCATCTTGAGAAATCTTGCATCAGTCAGCAGGTTACAGAAAGTGCTCTTGGATAAACCAGAATAAAGTCATAGTTCTGTTGCAGCTACACACATTTACTGATAACCAAGAAACAGATTAGTGTATTCACTTCTCGTTTCTGATTAGAGGAAGAAACAAAAAACCCTAACCACATCTTTTGTGCACATGGTTCTCAGAGCTGCAGACCTATTTTTTTTTCACAGCACATTCTAAGAAAGGTCAGAACTCTGAATGTTCTGAGAAACATTAAGTAACAAAAGCACAAACTACTATGTGAATAGCTAACACATCAGTTCAATACCAAAGCCTTCCTGAGTTGGCCAAGGTTTGTTTAAGCAGAGAAAAACTGTGCAGACACACTACAACAGCAAGACTGAGATCCACTGAAGAGGACCACTCCTGTACACTTCAGCAGTGTTGCTGAAATTAGTTGTTAAGTAGGTATAAAATATTTAGCAAACATTTTGATTTCCAAGTGTAAATGCTTATTCAATATGATGATACAGCTACAGATGACAGTCAAACTACGAGATCCATAATTTGCATTCAGACAAAAATCTTTTTCCAGGTGATAAATGATGATGTTCTGCCTGTTCGGCATAATGACAGGGACGTTGCATGTGAAGTGTACGAGTAGTACTAGTTGTTCTCGTACATGCCACGGGGGTCACTTCCTATGTAGCTTTGTTTTGTGTCTATGTGTAGGACCATAAAGAACAGGCTGTACTACTGTCAAAAAAAACACATGCTAAACCACAGGTCTGGTGTGAAGTGTGAAACCACGAGAGACGGTGAGGGGAAATTCAGCAACACTTACAGGTTATTTCCCCACCACCAGCGGTTATCATTCAAAAAAAACGAAAAAAAAATCTCAATGAAATGAGATTGCATATAATACAGAATTGGTCAAGGTTTCCACCTCAGAACTGCAACTCACAGTTTTACATTTGTTTTGTAAAGTCACAAGGACAACAAAAATTCAGTTGTGAGAAAGGCCTTAGAAGAATCTGACATTGCTTTTACTGTGAGTGCAGATCTAACACTGTTACAGTTATTCTCTGCTGAACACCTTACTTATTACTTTTTTTTTTTTTAATTTCACAACAAATAACATCCTGATACAATACTAAATGTCATTACAACTTTAACTTAGACTGCTGTGACTGTAATGGCATTTTCTGGTACAGAAAGAACAGAAGCCTCCCAAGCTTCCTTACTTATTCCACTTTCACTATGTTCTCTGTTTGTGAGCTCAAGTCCATGGAACATTTATGGGCTGTTCTGTCATGCCCATTTGAGCATAATTTAAATACCAATAATAGTTTTAAGTAAAAGTGAAATTATGGGCCTTGGTATCACTACATATACTCACCCACATACATGCCTCCAGACGCACTTTAGAGATGATGGCCCAGAGAGAGACATCTCCAGCCACTGTCCCTATTACAGCTCCTTCTGCCACTCCTACCCCTTCCCCTGACTCTGCATGGGGACAGATGATCTGGTCAGGGTAGGGTGGCTCGGGGAAGTCCACTGAGCCACACTCGTAGGCAGCCAGTGTGACCGAAGCTATGTGGGGACCCTGAGAGAAGAGAATGGAGAGAGCGGTTAAAACAAAACAGTGGTCAGAACAACAGCTCCACTGAAGCAAACATGATGCATCAGTAACATGTCCCTTCCATGCCATATGGAATGATGTGATGACAACCCATCATCAAATTTGAGGTCATATGACTTTATTTTATACATGTAGTTAATGTCTTTAGGCCTGTTTGACCTATGGGGAAATTCCATCAAATTCAAAAGAGTTCAAACAATAAAACATTTGCATCTTCTGTTTTTTCCACAGTGTTGGAAGGCAACCAGTCTTCACCACAGCACTTTCATGTAAGTGCTGGTTATGAAATGAAAGACTAGGCAACTCAGACTTTACTGTTAGCTCCCCTGCACAGTGAACATAAATGTCTGGGCACAAAAAGGCAGGCATGTGAGCACAGAGAGATTTATGAAAAGTTCTTGTGAATGTAGATAAAAAAAAATGCAAAGTAAGATGATCTGTATTGTTGTGGTTTAATGCAGAGGTCTAAAAAAATGTGTGTGTGTGTGTGGTGTCGGTGCAATGTAAGCTTCAGGGGTAGACCAGAGGATGAGATCAAAGAAGGAAAAGAAACTCCAGAACAGGAGCGACCGTTAGTGGGGGTGAGAGTTGCACCTGTGTCAAACTCTCTGTGACACAGTGATGTGGTGACACAAGCATGCTCGCACATGCATATGCGTACACACACATCCTCCTTCTCTTTCTAGACCATTCATAACACAAATACAGAAATGATGTGTCACCAGTCAACTGTGGCCCCAGAGAGAGCAACTCAGCAGGCAGGAATGTAGGTGAATGGGGCCCTGTTAACACATTTGTCCATCAAATCTTTAATTTTACCAAGAAAAAAACATCTTATTTTAATATCGTTTTAAGGGAAATTCAGCTTTGAAACTCTCAATACAGTAAAGATGCAATTTTGAATCTTGATATACTGTCCTTAACACAGTTTAAGTAAACCCTTCATTTAAAACTTGCAAATAAAGATGCAGATAATGTATTTGGAAGACATTTTTTTGCATAACATAAAGCAAGTGTAGTTGACTATGTATGTAAGAATAGTATGGTAATTTGGCATGTAATGACCTGATGTTCGAATGCCATATTCTGTATGACATATGATGGGATCAATGACCAATTTAACAAAGGAAATAGTGACAACAGTTTCTAAAAAAGAACAAAGACTTAAATGATTCACTATGACCATGGAGCAACTTAATGTTGAAAAGAGCTGGGGGAAAAAGAGAAACGGTGCGTGGTTCATTCTCAGTCCTCTAACTTACTGCTCTAGCAGGTCTCCAATGTTGCACATGATCACTGGCTATATTTTCACATGCTTCAGAGATGGAATTAGGTCTCAGTTTAGTGCTCATTTACCTACCTAGATACAAAGCATGAACCACCTAGCACGTTTTACGTTAACACATACAATACTAAAAACAAGCTAATGCTAACACACCAACTTAGGTTAGCTAGCTAACCTAGTTAACTTAGTTGTTGTCAAGTGAAGACAGATAAACAGCTACCTTAAGGCAACTGTCACTTAAATTATCTAATTCTCGCTTGCTATTACACCACTATGCTTTAAACATTGACTGAAAAATTACAGCTTACCTCAGTATGAAACTCACCTTAACTAGCTAACTTACCTGACGATAACATTACTATAGCTAGGTCATGATAAATTAACAAGATATCATTCACTATAATTTAGCAATGTTATTATGTTATTAATGTAGCGTTAACGTATTACGTTACATGACAATAAAGGTAACTGCCAGAAGAATTAACATTATACTATTTTTCCAGCTGTAGTAGTTAAAGGAACCGCTTCCAGAGGCTCGTGCTGATCCGCTAGGTTTCAGTTGGAGTCAGGCCAGAATGCTGCTATAGTTTCCAGCCAAATACGTTAAACTGCCCAAAAAGTCCACATCTAAAAAAGGGACTAGGGTAATTTTAACCAGAATACACAATAACACAATAATAATAATACAGTATTTAACCACTATGACTATAATAGCTAAGTTTATGTAATGTTATCTGCTGACGACTTTGAGGAAAAGATTTTCAAATTTAAACATCGCTAGACTGCACTGTCAGTCTTTTAAACAAATGTGTTTCTTCATTACTAATACGAAAAATTTTAAAAGTTTTAATGTAATTTTTTGCATCCTTTTCAAGCATCTAAGAAATGCTTTGTTTATGATAAGATCCATGATACTACATAATCAGAAAAGCAAATAAATATCAATAATATTGCAAGTATAACTATTCCTCATTCACATTTGTAAAACAGGCTCTGGGCCATTCCAGTTTCCTACTATTGCACAACTCTACAAAAAAAGTGTGAACTGGATAATCTATGCGGTGTTTGGCCTGAACTCACATCCATTACATCAATAATAAACTGGGTGTGTTATGTCAACTGCAAATGGCAACAACCTCCTTTCAGTAGGAATGACTAAAATGTATGCCAACCAAAGTGTTTGATAGCTGATTGGATGATGGGAGGAGTATAGCCATAAAAATTTCAGCTATATTATTAAGTAATGCAGTCTATTAATTTTATATACTTTTTAAAAACCTGCCAAAATACTGACAAACCAGCCCAAATTATGTCCACCCATCACAACACTCTTAACCAACTAAAATTTGCAGAATTTCATGCTCACAATTAAGGAATGGTTTTGCCAAAAATCTAATTTACCCTAATTTCCACTTACCCCACATGTAGTTAATGACCAAGGCATGTATGGATAAGGCCCTGCAAACTGGACAAATCCACTTAAAGGGCAATTCCAGTGATTCTTTTTTATTTTTATTTAAATAAATGGTTAAGAAGAAAACAATATCACTTATTGTGGTTTGATATAAAATGATAAGTTCTAGAGAAACAAATGAGGTTAGTACCATTCACAGTGGTGGTGATAGGGACCAGACATCTAAAAGCAACATCACAGAAAGTTATTACATAAAAAGTTATGAACACATTGCCTGATGTCTGTTTTACGATAGTTATGAAATAATGGTTTGTACTAAAATGTATTTTTAAAAAATCCATTCATGAGAGGTATACACAAGGGAAACTAGAATCCAAAAAAACTAACTTTTTCAGATTTTACCACTATGAATAATAAACATAAAAACTCAGACGACATGTGTAAGTTCACTGGTTGTTTTGGAAGGTAAATACAATGTATATATATATTTTATAGATATTGCAACACCTGGTTCCTGTCACCACCACCAAGTCGCTAAGTTTCACATCAAAACACTCTGAACAACTGTTTATATCTCAACAACTTAATATTAAAAAAAAGGTGGAATGCTTCTTTAAACTGTAGCACAGTATAATGGCTAACCTAATAGGTCTGGCCATTAGCTTTAATAACTTAACAGCCTGTACAGAACAGAGATACAGCTGACATATCAAAAAGTGACAGCAGGGTCCATTGGTATAGAGCATCACCAAGCAAGCATACCTATTTGCTAATTTTAAAAATGGAACACAAAATCTGATCTTAGGTAAGTGCTCAGAGCATCTCTGCATTTCAGCCCTTGTGCAGGTAGAATACATCCTACCGGCTGGTCTGAGATCAGTTTTGAATTTGTCCTTGTGATGACAAAGGTCAAGACTCAGATGCAAGAAACTGATTCTAAACCAGCTCGTAGCTATACAGCTGCACTGTGAGGCAGGTGCAGGAGCGGCGGCTGTCTTTTGATCTGTGAAGGTTGTGTGCTCATGGCCTGTGTCATGTTTGCTTTACGTTTAAGTGTGGGGGGAAGAGTTAATAAGAGGGCAGAACAGAATGGCAAAACGAGAGTGAGATGGAGACCGGCTTTGAAGAACACAGAAAGTTTGGCAGCGGGGAACGGTGATGATAAATGCTGGGCTTGTCTCAACGTATTTTAGGTGTAAACACACACGTTTACTCACACACTGCTGATGACCAACACTTAACTTGTCCCAACAGAATGAACTGGCTAAATCTTCTTCCCCAACTTCAAACACTTGGACACACATATACACACTCGTACAGAGTTCAGTACATGTAAAATACTGTGCAAGGATCAGTCAAAATGGCTTTAAAGTACAAGTTACTTAGGAGACATTTATGAGGAGATTTGATATATGAAAATCCACTTGTGTACGGAAGAGACAAGACAAAGGAATATTAGTGAAAAAAAACAGGAGCTTCTAAAACTGGAGTTTAAAAAATTATGAAAAGGTATAGAGAAAATGTGACTACTAACAATCATGCAAGACCTGGTAGACAGTCGCCACCAAGTACATGGTACCCAAATATTCCTCTTTGAGAGATAAGCCAAAATCAAGCTTCACTCTGAAAAGAAATCCAAAGTTGTTTCTGTCCATCCTTCCACTGTGAGAAGAAGGAAATAGAAAAAAGAAGAAAATTAGCAAATCAAACAAAGCAGCAGCTGCTGTTCTCAGAACAATAGACTAGCCACCCAAACTCCAGACCTCAACATCTCTGAATGTATTTGGGAGTACTTGGATCATGAGAAACAGATAATGCAAACCAACTCTTAAGACTGAACTTTGGAGGTGTTGAAAAATATCCCTGGAGATTTCTTTGAAAAACTGAAAGCAAGTGGACACACCAAATGCTGAAAATTACTGTATTAGTGTAATTATTATTATTAGTGTAATTTTCTGTGAAATTAATAACTTCATGGTTATTTTGACTGTAAATAAAATAAACGAAGGTCTTTGATTTTAGCACAGTACTGTATATACACATACCTAACCCCTACATACAACAAACTCTGCGCTCCATAAACAGAGGTAACTCATTCAAGCAGAATCGGTTTGTGTGCAAGACTGAATGAGTGATTGTTCAATAGGGTGTGTAAAGACTGCTCAATGACGCAAATTCTACACACGAGTCAGTAATGTATTATGCAATTCAGTACAGAAGAGGAAAAAAAACTTTTGCAATAGGGCGGTGCCCAAGCTTCCGTTT